GAATTTTCAGCATCATTACTCCAGTCTTCAGTTGTCACACATGATCCTTCAGAAATCATACTAATATGCTGATTTGCTACTCAAGAAACCTTTTTTAATTATTATTATTATCAATATTTAAAACAGTTGAGTACATTTTTCAGGATTCTTTGATGAATAGAACGATCCAAAGATCAGCATTTATCTTCAATGAAAAGCTTTTGTAACATTATACTATACCATTCAAAAGCTTGGAGTCAGTATAATTTTTTTTTTGTGTGGAAAATTTTGAAAAATTATAGAAATTAATACTTTTATTTAGCAAGGATGCTATAAGTTGATCAAAAGTGACGATAAAGACATTTATAATGTTACAAAAGATTTATATTTCAGATAAATGCTGTTCTTCTGAACGTTCTATTCATCAAAGAAACTGAAAAAAAATCTACTCAGCTGTTTTCAACATCATAATATATATATATATTTTTTTTTTGAGCAGCAAATCAGAATATTAGAATGATTTCTGAAGGATCATATGGAGTAATGATGCTAAACATTTAGCTTTGAAATCACAGGAATAAATTATATTTTAAAATACATTTAAATAGAAAAGTTATTTTAAATAAATTGGTGAACAGAAGAGATTCTTTAAAAACATTAAAAATCTTACTGTTCAAAAACGTTTGACTGGTAGTCTATAGGCAACTTTAATCTTTCTCTTATTTCTAGCTTTTAATTGGCTAAGAAATCAGATACACTCCTGGACAATAACCAATAATAATGATTTGTTTATATACTACAAACACTTTTTTTTATCACATAATAAGGCAGAATAGTTTTTGTACTGTAATGAATGCTATCAATTAGCACTGCATTGTTCATATAATTTATTTATCACCTGGAGATGACTTGAAAAACACAAATAAACTATATATTGTCACAATCATATGTTTATTGTCTTCATGTTTCCAAATGTTTCTGTTATTCTGTGAAAAGTAAACAACTGTTTTCATACATCCACATACGTCCCCCGCGTCCCCTGCGTGATCTACGCCCCTGCACCACTACTCCGTTCATATTTAATGTATTTCTTACCTTTTTTGGTGCCGCTGGCCTCTGACGGAGAAGCATCGGAGTCATAAATGAGCTCAATGTCGATGTCAAACTCCTTAAAATGAAAGAAAAGTAACTAAAGCGATTACCACATGGCACTTTCCCCAAACTCCCGTAAAGCCAAACTCAGACAGAATAAACATCTCTGCTAACTATCTCTCTAGCTCTCTATTTTTAAGGATTTTAAAATACAATTTATTCCTGTGATGAAATACATATATATTAGGCCTGTGAATCTTTGGGTAGACAGCGAATCGATTCAATTCACGATTCATAGGTTTTCGATTCGATTCAAGAACGATTTTTGCAAATTTAGAACGATTCAATTCGATTTGATTCACAATTAAATTTGATTTGATTCGATTAACGATTCTATTCTGCATTCTTTAAGTGCATTCACAGGATTATTTAAATGCTTCCCCTAAATTCTTTAAATGCTTAGTCAGGGGGCAAATTACACAGAAGCCTTTATGGTTACAGAACCATAGGTTAGAAAAAAACAAAAAACACTTTTGTCCATTGTTAGATGCTAGTTTAATGATGCTATGGCATGACATGGCATAACTTATGTAAAACGGCTCGTTCTAACACGCCCCCCCATGTTTACGTCACGATGTGGGAAGATTTGCATAACGCCGCCCAAATGTTCACGCAAAGAACGCCGCCATGTCATGAAGGGGCTGTGTGTTTGTGTTCTGTGTGTTTCGTTGTGAAAGTGAAACTACTTTGTTTGGCCTTCCAAAAGAGGATGATATCCGTTTCGTCCTGCCAGGAACTTCGCTCTGTGGATCGCCGGATCGGCTTTCACCGTGGATGAAGATCTCGCTCTTGCTCTGGTCGATGCGTGCGCGGGCGCGTTCTTCTGGGAGAAATGCCCATATAAGGAGTTCCACCCTCGTTTACGTCATTAAGAGCCACGATCGAAAAAAATTTGTACGAACCCGGAAGTAAGATTTTTGGCACAGAAATACTCTGTCATACGTCCAAATTGTTTTTGGAAACTTTGTCAATGCTTAGCATGATAATCCAACTCTTTAACAGTGTAAACAACAGGTGGTACATAGGCAGTAAATAGTGGAGCGCGTGAAGGAGAGATGCGAAGCACGAACATTGTTCAAGGTCTCTATTAATTCGTGCTTGTAGTAATTGAATGTGTATATATTTTGAAAGCATTGAATCGCTATAGAAATCGCGATTCATTCGATTTTTAGCGTTTTAAATCGATTGCTGTCTGAAATCGGCGATTCACGATTCAAAAATCATGTTTCAATATCGATGCATATGCATCGTCAGGGTGTGTAATCGATGCATCGATAAAACGAGTGAATCGTTACACCCCTAATATAAATGTATATCTTTGTTGAATAAAAAAATCTGAAACGTGAATACATAAAAAAAATGTATATGTTTATGTTTTAAACCCCTTTTTTATTTTATAAAAAACAAATAAATAAATAAAACAAATAAAATGTACAAGAATTCTTTTGGAAAGAAACAACTTATTGAACAAAAATACTAGGGCTATAAAAAAAGGCATTCTTCAGAAAATGTTCTCAATGTAACATTTGAGTTTCATTTATTGAACCGACCCCTCTTGTAAAAGCAGCACCCCAGCCTTCAAAACCCAATGTCCAGATGTGTCTCCCTCCCTCTCTTTAGCTGCTGCCCAAATGATAACTCGCCCTTTGTCTCTCTCACTGGGCTGGGTAATATATAGCTGTGAGGCGTCCTGACATAGTTATATTTGCTGGTGTCCTAGAAAAGACAAGGAGACTCAATTACAATGGCAGCAGAGCGAGTGCCTTTACGAATGTCAACTCTTCGCCCAGACGCAGCGTGATGAATCACACCTGACCTCACACCAGGCGTCCATTTCTCAGCAGCCTGCGCACAAGTGTGGACTAGTAAATGAGAAATCAGGGTGGGGTGGTGCGAGGTGTAGGGGGCTCGGTTTTCGAGAAGTTTGTGTGTGTTTGCGTGCGGGGCCAGAGGCTACGAAGATGAGACAAACAGTGGAGAGCCCGCAGACGTCCTTGCTCGCACTGCCTGTTGAGAGAGGAGCAGCGTAGACGCTGTGGAATTGTAAGCAGTTGTTTAAAGCTTTTAGACAGGGGGTTTTGGGAGCGTTCCGTTGGGAGGCTCGATGGCCCTGCTGCAGCTCGTGTGATGCTCTCCTGCAGCTCTGTCAGGAGGAGAACTAACCTGCATCTCTGTTTGTCCGCACACACATGTACGCACACACAGTGCTGCCTGTCTGCCAGCAGCCTCCTCTTACTCCAGGCAGAGCGTAATCCTTGTTGACAGAGAGCGAGTGTGGTTATTAGGTCACTTGTGTTTTCATGCTGTACTGTAAAGCACTTAGCAGGCTGCAGTGGCAGCGGCTCGCAGACTCACACCAGCGCTGTGGCAGTTCAGAGCCACTCTCCTCCGGGAGAAGAGACCTCTTATCCCACCACTGCACCGTCTGACCCTGGCAGGACGGCGGGTGAGGAGTGGTGGGTGGCTGGGTCAGAGACGGCTGTAATGCTGCCCTGGGCCAACTCTGAGGGCAGGCAGGGGAGTCCCTAGCCTCCTGGGAGAGGGAGGGTGGAATGAGCAACAGGCAGACACAAGGGCAAAGGCAGATGTGTGCAAGGATAGATGAGGAGATAAATCACAGGCTGTCAGAGCCCGAGGCATTTGCATTCCTGAAATGTAGCTTGCGCTGGTGGTTGGGGTACGGAGATCTCTGCATGCGTAGAGTCCAGCGCAACATCAGATGTGGATGCGATTCACACACAGCTGCAGAGGAGTTAGGTCATTTGTTCATTATGTAAGTTGTGACCTGAATTACACTGAAAGGGTGTTTTTAAATGTTAAAGGAGTTCCTAAATAGAGTAATCTAATAAATAATACATCTGATGGAGCACAAAAATGATTTGTTGCACAGAAATGGGAAATACATTTTCTAGAGCTTTTCAGGGTATTACAATGGGTAGCAAAAAGGATGAAATGTACTAGATTTATCTTGCACTTTCAAAAACAGCACACACTTTAAACCGATTGTCAAAATTCAGAGGACATACACAATATAGGAGGTAGGGGTGGATTGGGTCATGTGATTATAGTTTATAGTTGGCAGGCCGTCTGTGATGTATCATCGTACCTGTGTCCTGGACTTATTCAATGTCATATGGAAGGACAGGACACCCTTTTGGGATGTGAGTGGTCTCATCAGGTTGTTTCGTTGATGCTTTGACTTCATGAAGTAGAAGAACTGTGAAACTAAGAAACAAACAAGATTAAACAGTCTGAGTCAAAGTCTATCTATTGATAGAAGCATTTAAAATATGGAAAATTTGTTGTTGTGCACAGTAGGACATACTGTGCACAACCCTGTTTTATTACAATACCCCAAAATGTAATACAAAAACGTGATTTATGATTTATTACAAAAAGATATGCAATATTTATCGAGAGACAAGAATGTTTAAACAGGTACAAATTATTAATTGGAACAGTAAAAGAGCAGAATGTGTAACAAAGAACAAGATCATGATGCATTTTCTATTTTGGGATACATATTATGTACAGTTTAACATTATATATAATGATTATTTAATGATTATTTACTACAACACTGTATAAGATATTAATACAAAAAATTCAGTCTTTGATATGATATTTTTTCCCCCCTAATAAACTAGCCTATTCTTTTTTCACTTGGTTTGATGTTAAAAACAAGAGGGAAAAAATCAGCAAAGTAAGACAAAATATACAATCTCTGAAAAAAAGTCTTAATTTCTTATGCAGTATGCATCTTTTTTGTAAATTATTTTTAGATATTTTAACTGGAAAACAAGTTACAAATGTCATTCTCATTAGTCCAGCATTCTAATATTGAAACATAATGATTTAAAAAAGCATATTTAGCTAAATGCACACTAAATACATGATGGGCTAAAACATAATTTAGCAGTATTCAGCTATTTAGATGCTAGAGCCCTTTCTTCCTTTCATGGCGCATGGAAAAGTAAAGGCTCTGACCATGCTTCTACTCACAGTGTGCAAATCATATAGTTGGTATTCAAAGTGTCAGTGAAACAGTTAAGCAACATCAAATGATGACATTGGCTTTGCAGACCTCTTTCCATGATGTCAAGAGCATAGTGAAGCTTAAAGGGGATTACAGTCTAATTCTATCGTTAAGGCTCCCAACTAAATTGACTTGGCTGAGTGCATATGGTGGACTAAAGCAAACTTCATTTTTTTGTCGGTTGATAGGCGCAATGGTTGGGGCACAGAAGGGTGCAGAGGACAGAAAGTCAGAGAGAGAGAGAAAGAGAGGAGAAATCAAGACTAAGATAACTCATGGTAGGAGGTTCACTGGAGGGTGGACTGGTGGGGAACTGTCATCAGGAAACCCTTGTCGGCCCGGAATGAGGAGTGTTGAGTAACTAATGAGAATGTTTTACACAAGAAATGTATCAAGTCTGAGGAGACACATCTGGGTATGCAACTCACACAAAGAGTCATCCAGCTCAAAATACTTTTTTTATTGCTCTAAGTGCAATCCTCCCATTTGAAACCCAGCCAGAAATCGAGAGGGAGCGAAAAAGAAACAGAGGACAGAGGGAAACAGCTGGGTTTCCTAAGCAGAATGGCTGGTAAGGCTGAAGGGAGAGAGGGATGGCTTTCTATGGAGAATATGGAGGAGAAATATAAACTCCAAGAGAAGTTGCTGGGAAGAAAGCCATGAAACAAGTGAGTTAAAAAAAGAGGGAAACCAAGGAGGACAAGATCAGGGCCAAGGAGAAGAGATTATGAAGAACTAATAATGAAACATCGCAAGAGTGAGAAAGGAGGGGGAGTGTCGACGGCGGTTTAGGAAAACAAGCGAGAAAGAGATAGTGGCCAAAATCAGCGGAAATGTAATGCGAGAGAGGCAGGAAAAGGGATGCATGGCTCTGATTTGTGAGATGAGATGAACTGAAACGGGATGGAGGCAAATTCCAGGAAGACGTCTGAAAGCCAGAAAATGAAGTCACCTGTGCAAATACAACTCATATTTACTCATAGTGGAATAATCATATGACAGTTCCCCGTTTTATCTGTCTTGGTCAGGATTCTCAGGAAGAGGCCTGGGTCCAGAAAAACAAACACAACTGCTAAAGCAAAACGATCGTGTGCGCTTGGCTCACCGAATGCGAGTCGAGCAGCAACCGCTACCCCAATAAGCAATGAACTATGAGCAACCGAAAAATACTAAAATAATTTACGGCTGTAGACTCATTCAGAACGTTCCTTTGGAATCATGAATCGAGACTTTTTCTTCCAGCAGTTGTCAAAAGAATTGAAATATGTCGACCGCAAAAACAGGATCAGCAGCAATAACAAAACTAACCCATGCCAACTTCAACATGGGATGTGAACACATGTTCCCAACTAGTCTGCCAATTACTCTACCTCAGATTTACTGTTGTTCTCAATTATAGAGCAGTTTGGCAACAAACAATAACATGTGTTGTGATGCTGCGGTTGAGCCAAGTTAATGTTTCATATTAGAGCTCCCGCAACTACTCACCAGGCCCGAACCCATGCTGTTTAGTGCATACTTCACTTAACGGGGTGCTCATAAGTCATTATGCACGCCAAAGTTCTGCTGGGCCATAATGAGCGAAACAAAAAAACTCCTGCACAAAAGCATGCTACGCGTACAGACGACAATCGCAGGAGCTCCTTCCAAATATTCCAACTCATAAACATTTCAAAAAGTATTAGAGGGTGCATGGGATTTACAAATCCAGGGATTTTCATCAGCTACTGCCTTAGGATTTGATTGGGTGTTTTTTTAATGGATTTGATTCAAAGAATGGTTATATATTCTCGATGGACGTTTATAGTGAATACAGAGCTCCTTGTTTTGAATGTTCAGAACAGACTCCTATCGACGTGTTTGAAAAGGCGATGAACACTAAAGTGGTTCATCTGTCTAACAGATGAGTTTTATGGTCATGCGCATGTCAGCCACCAATTCTCTGCATTTCAGGATAGTAATTTAGGGCGGCTGCATATTTCGAGCATTTCAGTCGGAAGTCACATATTTGTAATTGAATGTTTGAGCTCTCTTTTAAGCCACTTAATGTGTGCAATCCAATATAGTGTTTGCAAACCGTTTACTCGTGACCTGTGCTTTCCCTTTCCTTAAGCCATTCAAGAGAGCCAGCAAAAGCAAAGTGCCTTTTAAGGCCCTGAGTATTGCCAGAGTCCTCCTTATATTACTGATGATATCTTTACTGAGGGCTTCGCTGACAAGAGCCCAGGGATCAGAACTGCCCATAAAGCAGATGGGAAATTACATCTCATCCTAGGCCCTGCGCTCAAATGGCCTGTCTGTTGATGCAGCGGGCTTGTGGTGTCTTTAAACAGGGACTTAGCCTTTGACCCCAAACCCCCCCAACCTTATACGATTGTAGTGAGGAAGCTACTGGAGGTAATCAAAGCGGGCCGAGTACAACTGGACAACTGCACTGACTGGAGATCAGTCTCAATCCTGCGAGTCTGATGGCTGGAAGGAGATATCTAAGACTGTGTCCACACACTAGGCCTGAAAAACCTTAATAACGTCAAGCCTGTCATTGATAGAGTGAGATCTAGGCTGTCGTATTTGCGGAAGTGTGCCTCAACAACAATCTTTACAGCCAAAGACATGAAATGCTACCTTAATTGCGAAATAATGCTTTGTGGGCCATTCCAATATTTCATGCAGTGAAGACTTAGTTTGACTAAATATCAGCCGGGGTTGGAATGAGTGTGTGAGAGAAAATTCATTGTGCCGTAATCCCTTAAGCCCTTCAGGGATGGCCTCTGACCAGGGCATATGAGATCCACTACCCAGCGCTAATCTGTTCCCAACACTGATGAACCCAGAAAGTGGCTCTTGCGGTTAACAAACTGTCCACGGATGGATTATCCAGTTTGCAGCAATGCAAAGTTCAGAACACAGCAGCTGTAATCCCAGTGTCTCCATGACACACGTGCTGAGGCCTTGCACTCAATAAGCGCAAGCTTGGCCCAAAGAATTGTGTTTATCCATTCATCCATGCTCATTCCTCCCCCTCTCTGTGACACAGGCACTGATCACTTTATCCCTCTGTTCTAATGGCAGAGAGACAGAGCTAGCACGCTTCCGCCACGCACGGCACAAATCCCTACTGACCTGGCTGACCACTGACTGACCAATATCTAAAACACTTTTTGCAAGAAAAAAAGGAGAAAATAATTTAAAATTCCAAACAGTGTCGGGGCTGGTGAGCATTACATAATCAAAGTATGATTTAAGTTACAAGTCATGCATTACTTGTGAATTTACTATATAGTATTTTTCAAATAGGTAACGTTGTTATTTAATTTATTTATCGACAAATACTCCTCCCTTCTTCATGCTGGGAGAAAAGGTGGTGTATTTAAAGTGGGCATGCAGGGGGTGTTGCAATATGTGTTAAGCATGATGGGTACTGTAGTTCAAGAGTATGTCATTTGGTCCCACTTTATATTAGGTGGCCTACTATGTACTTACATTTAAATTAATCATTTGGTACAATGCACTTAATGTGTACATGTTTTTACATTGTACTTACATTTTAAAAGACCTGCATGTAATTACATCTGTAATTAATTTCTATAATTACATTTATAATTACACTGTTGACCCATTCCTTACACCTTAACCCACTCTTAAACCTACCCACACCACCAAACCTGTCCCTAACCTTACCAGTATCCCACCTCAAGAGCTGCAAAAGTGTTTTGCAATAAAATATGAACACAATAAGTACATTGTACTTATTTTTTGATGTAAGTACATAGTAGTTAAGGCCACCTAATATAAAGTGGGACCTGTAATTTTTATCAGTAACATTTACAGACCAAGTGTTCAGCAAATGTTACCCACATGTCATTACAACATATCATTGAGGAACACAAAAGGAAAGAAGTCATAGAGGTTTAGAATGGCATGAGGGTGAGTAAATGATGACATTAGTTAGCTGATGGAGAGAAAAAGTAATGCAAAATTGTACCCATAAAAAGAGTACAATTGATAATTTCCATAAGTTACTTTATACAATTGTAAAATGTTATATATAAAAGTAAACTTAAAAGGGGTAACCAGATATTTTAGGTCTATTTATAATTGATCTAACCAATACTCAAACCATGAATAAATGCTTAAATAAAACCATTTAATTTTATGAAGCAGTTTACTTTCTTTTAGTTTAAGAGAAGAAGAAAAAAGGTAACACTTCAGAAGAGTTGTCCCTCAATAATCTCCTAATTTGCTGCTTATTAATAGCTAGTAAGGTAGTTGTTAAGTTTAGGTATGGGGTAAGGGATCTAAGATGTCATGCAGAATAAGGCATTAATATCT